TTACTCGACTCAATACAAGCTCAGTCTGCTCGTCTGCATGGTATGATTCGGAATGGGGACCGTGCCAGGTCAATATCTATTCACGTCTTTTTAACGTGGTCCTAAATAGTGAGGTCCTAATTACCTCCATATTGAATTGTTCAGTATTAACTGTTGTAGTCAATTTGCTCTTAACGCCACCTTAGATCAGCACTGTTAAAAATGAACTCGCTTTTAGGAGAAACGAGTTAAATAGCTGGGTCACACTAGATCTTTATTTAGCTATCCAGGTCTACTGTCTAAGCAATTACATTTTCAGTGGATTGCACCTCTTTGGGCAGCAAACAGACGACAAGGAAGAAGTAAAAGAGGGCGTGCGCCAGCTGAGCAACGTTTTATAAGGTAGAATAAGGAAATGTAGGCCGACTATAACTATTCTACTCGTGGTGTCGGCGATTACCATCTGCTGCAGTGAAGAAAAGTGGCTGGACAGAGTTATTCTTCGATGCCACCGTAGTAATTTTTTGAAAGTGCGTTTCGTACAGGCATTAAATGCTAACAATAAACTTAAACAGCCGGCACCTCAAAAAATATTGCTGATACAAAGTTTGGCACGTTTGTGGCATAGGTGCATTTCTGCATTGAATAAAGTAAGAAAAACATGAACGATGCCGTTGCTTTGCAATTACCAGGCAACTTGGTCAACCACCCTTGACGTGACGCCACCTTTCATCGTAACCAACGGAACGCAGGGCACGCTGAGGAGTTCGTTGGATTTTGTGCACTATTAGTTTGTTATATAAAGTGCCGACAGAGTTCCGAAATATTCTGAGTTTTGTGAAACTCGCGCCTTTCTGCGTAGCACCCCAGTAAGCCCGTGTTTCTAGGTCGCGAAAAATCCCAGGTTTCATGTGAAGCCATATTCATGCACACTTAAAGCAATCAGCACGTTGTAAATGTTGTTCTAAGGCACAAAAGTTCGTGCTGACATTGGAAAAAAGTGGGCAGTTGCAACATTTATCTAGTGAGATCCTGGAACAACCCATTTTTTAAGAGAGAATGCAAAGGACTTCAAGTTTCTAAAGAGCATTATTTTGCGGAGACTGCTGGTATAGGCAACAATTTTGTGCTGAAAATACGAAATGTCATGCTCGGCTTTAAGCACTGTATAATTATTCGAAGTTTAGCAGTAATATACAATGACATAATGTCCACTAAGCACACATGTAAGTGCTCGCAATACAGATTTGTGAAAGAGAATAAATAAAATTTGGGTGCCTTTCGCATTTCCAATGTGTAGCTGTCCGACGCCACTGCAACAGGGATACACACACTCAAAGGACCGCTGGTACTTTCACAAAAACAGCAAGAAGTGTGAAGAAACCATAGCAAAGTTTGATGGTTGCGCCAACTTCGACACGGAAGACAGATGTATTGTATGAGAAAAGAGTGGATGAAGAAACACACCTTATAGTCGTCAGTGAACACAAAAGTCAGTCAATGGAAATGTCCCTACAGAAGATTAAAGCTAAAATTAACAGTAGGCGAATACTCAGAACTTTTACGTCTGATGTTATCTGAGTTGATAATAAAAAGGGCAATAATACAACTAACCTATCGAAATGTTCTTATAAAGCTGATAACTTCACCGCTCACCATTGTTTGGCAGACCTGAGCAAGTTTTCTGTGAGGAGAACAGATTTTGTACTTTTTCTACTGAACTTGTGAACGAAGAATTGTGAACGACGTGATGACACCAGTAATTAGGATCTCTAGACACTGTGAAATTTTAGCCACGCTTTAAGTGCACTTTAACTAGTGCACATGTGAGAAATAGTGAGGAATGAAAGAGATGTAGCAGAATTGTAAGACAAATAAATCTAAGAAATAATTTGTCGTACTGAATTTCACTCAAAACTACCCATGTGTAGGAACTTTACGGGTAGACCCCAGGCTATAAAATCGATGTTTGTTATGCTGCCCTAATTTGTTGGTTTTTTAGTTCAGTGAAGCACAGATGTTTGATGTTTTATTAAATGCTAAATTTGGTAAAGTCTGTGATATTTTAAATGGCCAGAGGAACTTTTTATTGAGGTGCTTTTGAACTTTCCAACAACACAAGCTTTCTCTCTTTCATTTTCCTTATAAGATCACACTTTCTTGCCCCAGAGTTGAGCCTTCGGAGGACCCTGCACGTGTAATACAATGTTTCAAAATAGGAGGAATCCTATTCGTAGTGGCTAGTACACTGCTAAAGTTTGAAAATGAAGCCTGTATAATTTTTATTCCATATATTGGTTGTTCTGTTTGGCTCTGAAAAGAAAATAACTAGGTCACTGGAAGGAAAGGCAACTTTAATTATCGCCGTAGATAATGCACCACAGTATTGCATATGCGGACAACGCATAAGGCTCCACAACAAATTAAAACTGGCTTTGCGTGTCAGTGCACTGTTGATGTGTCTGAGCTACAAATCGTATGTCGTATAAGCTACGCCAAACTTGTAGAACTGAATTTCTGTAGATTCGGCAAGTCGTTAGGCTTACACAACAGCCATTACAGTTCCTGAAAAATTTTGAACATTCCACAAACTACGTATTAAATACTAGTAGATTATGAAGCCAAAGAGTATATTGAAGACGTAAATGAACTGATTTAGGTTTAACGTTACAGCATTGCGGTGAGTGGCGTTAAATCACACCCCATGGTTTACATGCGCACCAATACCTAATATGTTGACGTGTAGACAACTGCCTTGATAGATAATCGGGAGCGTAATCCAAAGCTTGGAGATTCAATCCCTGCTGGTGGCAAGTTGTCTTCAACCCAATTTACTCGATCCGCATATCTTTACAAACTACTATGACACACTTAAGCCAATTGAGTCACCATCCCAAATTAGTTTCTCAACTTCATTATCCGCTGGTTTCATTAAGGTTGTGTGAAATAAAAAGTGAGCCATTAGAATTTCTTTATTTAATTTACACACTGTTTACAAAACTCAAAGGAGCGAAAACGGAACAGAAGGTAAGTGCAGAGATCTGAACCAGTTTGGCATAACCGGCATGCTACCCTGAACAGAGGATAGAGTGGCGGTAGGTTGAAAGAAGAGGAAAGGTCATTTCACGCTGGGTGACTATAGCATCGGTCACGCAGCTCTTTGCGACTGGCGACCAAAAAGCAGCCGAACGCGACTGATCTTCACACCGGCAGAGGCTGCATGCGAGTGACCAGAAGTCGCATACCCGGAAGGTCACGTCTGGATCTCTTTATCAGCGAGAACCTTGGAGACTGGTGGCGATCACTACCGGTCAGCTGATGGCCCTCAGCCAAGGGTACGGAGACAGCTGAGAACGCCGCCTTTATCACTTTCGTTGGCCCCTTTCGCGCACTGTTAACTGTAGAGTTATGGACATTAAGTCAAGAGAGGAAGATGTCATGGTGCTGATATAATCAGCTATTGTGTCAGCGCTACCAGCACGGAAGCCTCGAAGGACAAAAATGTTGTGGTGGATGTGATCGTGCCTTCGCTCGTGAGAGGTGGCTGGCTACGCAAGCAGCCTGTTTCCCAACCTGTGGTCACACGACGAGGAATGTTTTCGAAATTAGGTTTTTTTTTTTTTCTTGCATGCGTTTAAGATAGTGCATATTTGTTTTCTCGTTCTTGTGATGGTGTTAAGCTTCTTGCGAACGCCCCCATGAACATGTGGCTTTTCGCTTGGCCTGTTGTGCCTCGTCATATCGAAACGGGATCCAAACTGCTGGCCTAAGATTCCGGTGCAGTACCCCCTGTGAGTGATCAGGCAAGCCCATGTGGTTTGAAGAACATTATGCTGTGACCTGTGAAGGCGCTTCGCTTGTAAAAAAGTTTGCTTCAGCGGAACACACTTTAGTATCTTATTCTCCTTGATTCTGCCTGTTCTCTTTCACTATTATTTTTTATATTTTTTTAGTTTTTTACATTTGATGTGCCGAAAACATCCCTGTCACTATACCAAGTTGCGATCAGCAGCAGGCAAAAATGAGAGTGGTTGAGAATCGCACGTGCAGTCATAAACGTAACAGGGATAAACTGTGTGCATACAAATAATATCATATTTCAGAAACCACATATACTATTACTTTCGAGTCTTTGTAATTATGATATTGTTCTTTTTGTAAACATTCATGGGCATGAGTTCTTTCTTTCCTGCCTGCAATCGCAAAACATCAGAGCCAAGTGTTGAATTACCTACGTGCTGTAACACGTCAAAAACTTTCATTGGGAGTTCACTGGAATGAAATCGTGAGCCAGCTGCCCCTAAAAACTTAGTGCAAGAATGCTTTGTTGGCAACATCAATAGTTTTAGTATTTTACACCTGTTACAAAAGTCACATTGATGACATGATGAACCTGATATGTTGTTGCATATCTTGAGTTTGCTCTATTTTATCACTATTTGATGTGCAACGGACTAACGGAGCAAGAACCATTGCAAGCTATCATTCCAGGTAGTAACCATGTAACCATTTTTGGCATTTATCACTGAAATTTAATCAGTTGATTTATTAATGATGTGCGCAACTGATCCATATTTAACATCCGCGTAATTAGCTACTGAACCTGACGCACAATCAAATCATACTTGGAATTACGCTTTAGAACATCGCATGGAACGATACGCGTAGTATGCTCATGTGACTGGCGTAAATGGCCGCTTAAGTCACATACAATACATACTCTGCTTGAAGTGCTGCATGAATGCCTCACATTTCAAATAAAATGGTGGATGAGGCACGTAATTCTATCGTACTATTATGATCATTGACCGGGGCACTAAACCATAGTATCGGTATCATGAAAGGCGCGTCCTCTTTTAGGACTGCAGATAAGTGGCAGTAGTGTTAAGCAAACGATACTTTTTGTTTCAGTCGAGTACAATATTATCAGAATAGCAGTGACGTGATCTTACGTCAAATCAGCTGATATTAGTAACAGCAATCAATATGCTTGCATTATAATACTTTGAAATACTCTATTTATTTTCCAGTATGCGATGGAAGAACCAGTGAAATCTGCCTGTACCCTTTGTGTAAGTAGTCGATTTCAATAACTGTTTCACAAAGTACTTTTTTATGAATTTTAATTCCGTAATGCTTGCTCGCGAGAGCAGCGAATCTATTTCTATAGAGCATGTTTGTAAACAAATATCAGGACAACTGCACTTAAATCTTCTAAAAATTTAGGTTAAAAAACCAGTTAGAAAAATCACTTAGTAGAAAAACAATGTTTTTCAGTTTAAAAAGACAAAATGTACTGAAAGAGGACAGAGAAGCCAAAGTGAGCTTGTGCATTGAAGCCTGCTAAAATTCAAAGGGAGACTAGAGTGATGGTGCTTATGATAGTAACAGGAAGACGTGGTGCGTATGAAAAAAAAAGTCTACTTTTCTGAGCCTACAAGTTCTTTCGAAGGAGTTGCTGAGATAGTCTGGTATGGCGATGGGGGCACACCACTTTTAAGGAAAGCTTTCACGACGATGAAGGCCAACGTTTAGGCCAGTGTGTTCTGTTGGCTGTCGCCACTATCTTTTGCATAATTGGGAAACTCTCGTCTACTTGGCTGTGCACATTACTCTAGCTGTCTGCACAGGCCTCAAGAGTGCGTGTATATAGCGCCAAGTGAAGGTGGCTTGCTTAATGGGCTTAGCAAGCAATGCTGACTACAAAACCAAAAGATGGCTACCAGAACTTTACATTACCGGCAAAACACAAGGACCACACAAAAAAATTGACAAATCTACTCAGCTGGTTCCGTAAACAACACGGTCATGTGTGGGTGACGATGATAACGCATGACACGACTGGGTCCCCAAGGTATCTCTGTAACGAAAGGGAAGGCACATAACTTACAAGTCTTCATCGAGGCCTTGCAACACTTTCAGGCATGCTCAGAAAACGTGTCAGTGGGCAGTCAAGGCCCCTCCTAACAAAGGAGCGAAACGTTATAGTGCTGCATCTCACCTGGAACTTACATTTATTTATTTATTTATTTATTTATTTATTTATATTGTAAGCCAAAAGGCTATTACAGGATGGAGAACTAAAACGCACTTCACACATTGTTCACAGACACTAGCACTGAACAGTGACATCAGGACAAGCAATGCATCTGGCAGCTTCAAATAGAGCTACACCATACATACCACAAAAATAGTGAACCAAACAAAAGGCGAATTCAACCAAAAGTTCAACGTGCAAAATTATTCGTTTTACACAGTATTGAGCAACATTGAGCGGAAAGTAACACAATCGCAGACACTACACTCAGCCAACACTGTTCCATTAGCTTCAAAATTATAATCACGAAAATTATGGATTTTTTATTAATACGTATAATTATTGTAACTGATGTCGAAGGAAAGTACTACCGTTTATATATGCTTACGTGGAAGGATAGTAAGCCAGCACTGTTGCTTTTGTTTAAACTTCTTCTGAAGAGTTAACTTTAGTTTTATTATGCGGTAGCAAGTTCCACTTTTCAATTGTTTTCGGAAAGAGAGAGTATTTAAAGGTGTCGATCATTGTAGCTATGAGCACAAATTGATCCTGAAGGCTCAATCTGACAGACCGTGATATACATAACATTCGGATTTGTATGCATCTGTGAGGGATAAATTTGAAGAAACCATGTAAATTCTGCTCCCATCGATGTCATAAGGTGGGATGTCTTGAGTTTGCTCTTTGCGGCTTTTATTGATATCACAACAGATGCCTTGAACTGTTGTATCAAATGGAGTTGCTGGTGTATACGTGCATATAGCTTTACACGTCTCCTCTAACAGGAGCAGAGCAAGCTGCTTAAGAGAAGGTGACAACATATCTGCTTTCATCTGGACGCCAGATATTGTTAGCTAGATGTTAACCTCAGTCAGGCACAAAGCGGGAGTTGAAGGCTTCGCTGTGACTGTGAAGTGGGTCGGCATGGAATAGCGATACGTGGTTACCGTTTGGCAAAAGGACGAACGTGGTGCGTCTGGTGTTAAAAAAGGCTGTATGGTAGCAGGGTGTTCGGGAAATATGTTTTATATGTATTCTGAGTGTCTCAATTTGGATATTTGTCATGATAAGGTGGTCACCAGCAATAGCTATAGAAGTCACCATACACGCACTATGAGACAAGCCTTGGGGAATGCCTTGAACTGAACACTCTGTAACGTTCGTTGGCTTGTTTTGCTTGTATTTGTAAATGCCAGTAAGCTGTACCACAGGAAGCAAGAAAAAACTACCCTATACAGCTGTAGCATTGCACTGGGTGATATTCCCAATGCCTCCGCTACAAAGAACGTCAGTGGATTACAGGTGTCTAAAAATTGTTTTTTCATGTACGGGACCTGATCGCTCTATCATAACGCCTTGTCATTTCTGACGCCCAAACGCTTGTACGATAGAACGTAGGGTACAGTTTGACCATTGATTCCTATGGTGTACTTAATCATAGGTTTGCGTGTAAAAGCTATGAGGGCGCGTTCCTCGGAAGAAATTTTCAAGCCTCCATTTTAGAGGCTACGTGCTGTTTTACTGGCAGGTTTTTGAATCTTCACTCGCAACTCCATGCGTGCTACAGCCAATACCCGAACGCAAATATTATCTGCTGTTATTGATAGCCTGACTATGCTTAGCAGATGCTCAGAGAGAGCAATTTGCGTAAGATTGAACAGCACAGGGCTGAGTACGCCAGCCTGGGGTGACATCATGGTGGCTGTAATGTGGAGAGATTTAACCCTTTTTGGTGCTCACTATAGTGAACTAGAATGTGATATTCTAGTCCACTATAGCACTCACAATGAGAGACCGCATTGACAGATAACTACATATACAGCGATACATATGACTACCTATTCTACGTCTTCGAGAGTGGTGAGGACTGCTTCATGCGTAACGTTGTCATACGCTTCTTTGACGTCTAAGAAAAAAGATGCACAGTGACGCTTACCGCTTTTCATGTGTTAAATATAAGTGACCAGGTCGACTACGTTTTCAATCGATGATCGACCACGCCCGAATCTTTCCACGGCATCTGGATAGGTGCTGTTGCACTCCAAGTGCCACTCCAGGCGTGTATTATCCTCTCTATACCTTTCCTACAAAACTGGCCAACGTGATCGCATGGCAGAATGAGAGCTTCAGCGGTCAGACGTGGAACTAGGCGACTTGTCTTCCAGCTCTTTGGGAGCGTCCCATCTTGCCAGGGTTTGGTGCGTAACTCCAGGAGGAGTATTCTTGCGCTTTCACCCAAGTGACACAGGGCTCTATAGAAAATTTCATCGGGTTTTGTTGCTGACGTGCCGCCACACAAAGCTAGTTCTACTCTGAGTTCATCGATAGAAAAAGGCAAATCCACGCGGGAATTTATTGTTTGTGAACAGCTGGTCGAGGGCGAGTGGCTATTGGGCTCTGCGAGTGGCTTAGATAATCTGGCACAAAAGTCTTCTGCCATACCGATGCATCGTCTCTGTTGTGAAAGGGCGAGAGCCCTGAAAGGGCACCACCGAGTTGGTTTTGTGCGGAGACCTCGTACCATCTTCCACGATTGTGATAAAGTTTGCGAGGGTCAAGAGACTCACAAAAGCAGTCCAACGTTGTGGCCCCAGTTTATCTATCCGGCGCTGAATCTTCTTCTGTAGACGTCGAGTGATTCATAAGTCTTCCATTGCTTCCATGTGTCGGTATCTTCGTTCAGCAGGACGTCAGATTGCTCTACGTTGTTCTAACTCGATGTCAAAATCTGTTACTTTAAAAGAGCTAGCGAGAGTACACGTAGTATCGTGTATGGTGTTTTTGATTATCTCCTCTGTGTCAAGAGATCTATTTGCTTCACATTGCTCTTCGATGCGAGACTTAAATTTAAACCAGTCCTCTCTTTGAACACTATCGCGTACCTCAGCTTGCGATAGTCCTTAGATTTCTACGTAAGTAAAAATGTGGTCACTTCTATGTGTTTCTATGTCTGGGAACCACTCAGCACGCCTGACGAGGCTTGCGGGACAAGGGTCAGGTCAGGACAGCTGCTACGCCGTGAACCACGCAAAAACGTTTCACTATACCGTTATTAGGCAAGAAAAGTTCATTGTTGAAGGTGAAAAAGACTAAATTTCTTCCTTTAGCATTTGTCTTCAAACTTCACCAGATTTTATGACAAGCGTTGAAGTCACCGGTTTTAATGCACGAGTGAGGAGTTGATAAGATGCCTTGTAGTTTCTTATGGTGCAAATGGCTTGACGGAGATAGGAAGGCACGCATGACCATGACAGCAAGCCTCTTCTTTAGTGTATTAGATATATATTGATTGTGATTGTTAGGCGAGACCGGTTGATGAGAGTAGGAGAATTCGGGGTGAATAAACATGAGAACTTTGCTGTTGTCCACAGTGACGTAGATGACATGCATGACTCATAATTAGACAGTCTGATTTAATTTGGCAAATTTGGTTCACAAACGACAATGATGAGAAATTTATTAGTGTACACAAACCAACGAAAATAGGTGATGCATTATCTCAGTTTCCGGGTATTCTGTTGAAGAATCGCTGCCAGCGACCTCTTTCCTGAAGAACAGTGGCTTTCTACTCAAGTGCTGAGAGTACTGGACTCGCAGCACTTCGCATTCCCATTACTTACTCCTCAAACATTCTCACTGCTTACTCAAGTGCTGCAAGTACTGGGTTTAAAAATGTTTATTTTATTTATTTTTATTTTTTTATTAAAGTACTGCAGGCCCAAACTGGGGCCCAAGCAGGTAGGGCAAAATGAGATAAACAAAGCAAATAAAGACAGAGAAATTGCATACTCAGCAAAAAAAAATAACACTGGCATGTGTACAAAAGAAACTGCAGCATGAAATCAGGAAAAAACTTCATAATTTCTTTAAAAGTGGTACATCAAGGTGAAGCAACAAAAATCATCAAACAAAAAGTTTTCACCCACTGAATTAAGACCGTGTGGTAAAAGCACGTCAGACATATATATGCAAAGAGGCTTGAGGCAAGGCCAGTGACGTTGGCTTTTCAAACTAAGGATCAAGGAAGAAGGATAA